GACTATGAAGAGCATAACTGACTGGTTTGGCTCAGTGGATAGAGCATCTGCCTGCAGACTGAAAGAAAGGTCCCAGGTTCGATTCCGGTCAAGGGCATGTGCCTTGGTTGTGGGCACATTCCCTGTGGGAGGTGTGCAGGAGGCAGCTGATCAATGTTTCTCTCCCATCGATGTTTCTAACTCTATCCCTCTCCCTTTTTCTCTGTGAAAAATCAATAAAACATATTAAAAAAAAAAAAAGACTATGAAGAGCAGACTAGGTGAGGTGCTAACCTTGCCTGAGGGGCAGGGAAGACTTCCCTAAGGAGGTGACATTTAAACTGACATCTGAAAAATAAGTGGGAATGAACCAGTTGCCAGGGTGGGGGTGGGAGGAGAGTCAAGGAATAGAGGGAAGAGCATTTCTGGAGAGGGAACAGCATGTAGGAATACCAGAGTTCAGAAGAACATGGCTCTTTTTAGGAACAGCAAGAAGAACTGACTGCGTGGATGGAGTAGAGTGGGAAGATTGAATAGAGAAGGGATGAAATGCCTTAAGGAGAGAATATAGAGTAAAGAGAAAAGTTTCTGGGACTTCAACTTGATAAACACCAGTAATTAGAGCTATGGGGGATGTAATGGAAGACTAGAGAAGAGGGTTTCAAAGAGGAAGAAGTAACCAACATTGACCAGTGAGGCCAAGAAGTGAACTAAGATAAGGACTTGCATTTGGCAAATGGGAGTTCATCATAGGCAACCTTTGAGGAAGCAATTGCACTGGGATGATGGAGGCAAAAACCAGAATGCATAGAGTTGAGGAGTGATTAAGAGGTGAGGAAAGCCCTAGCCAGTACCTCAGCTCGTTAGAGCATTGTCATGATAGGCCAAGAGTATGGGTTCAATCCTTGGTCAGGGCACCTATAAGAAGCAACCAATGAATGCATAAGTAAGTAGAAAAATAAATCAATGTCTCTCTCTTTCTAAAATCAATCAATAAAAAAAGAATTGGGAAAAAAGAAGTGAGTAAAGAGGGGAAGTGATCTCTTTGAGAGGCTTGGCTGTGAAGAGAAGAGAGTCGTAAGGTTACGCCAGAAGGCTGGGGGAAACTTGAGGCTGTTCATCACCCAAAGAGCATGGCTCCTAGTAGTCACTCAATAAATGTTATCGCACTGAACTAAACTGAGGGTGAGCTTGAAGATACAGGAAAGGAAGGGATTGAGGGAATAAGGCCCTTGAGGGAGACGGGTTGATGCATGAGTTACATCTTGAAAGTAGACAGGCATGCTCTTTCATTAAAATAAACGGAAATAGAAGACATGGAGGCTGAGTGTGGAATGTAGGGTATGTTAGCTGGAATGAGAGGAAGGCATTTTCACAGATTAAAGGGTCAGGAGATAACCAACTTGTATACTTTTATATCTCAGAGCATTTCAGGTTTAGCTCTGACTTCAGTTTATTATTATTATTTTAAATATATATTTTTTTATTGATTTCAGAGAGGAACGGAGAGGGAGAGATAGAAATATCAATGATGATGACGGGACCGGTTTGGCTCAATGGATAGAGCGTCAGCTTGGGGACTGAAAGGTCCCGGGTTTGATTCCGATAAGGGCATGTACCTTGGTTGCGGGCATATCCCCAGCAGCTGATCGATGACTCTCTCTCATCGATGTTTCTGACTCTCTATCTCTCTCCCTTCCTCTCTGTACAAAATCAATAAAATATATTAAAAAAAAAGAAAGAAATAACAATGATGAGAGAGAATCATTGATTGGCTGCCTTCTGCACGCCCCCTATTGAGAATCAAGCCCACAACCTGGGCATGAGCCTTTGGCCAAAATTGAACCTGGGACCCTTCAGTCCGTGGGCAGATGCTCTATCCACTGAGCCAAACCAGCTAGGGCCCAGTATATGATTTTATCTGGAAACAATATCTAACCTATTTAACATTTGGTGGGCACTTATTAAGTTGCTGCTTTTACTTCTATGGTCCTAGAACAAGGTGATGCAGCTTGTTATAATTGTGCCTAAAGTAAAAGAATGTAGGTTGGCCCTGGCTGGTTTGGCTCAGTGGATAGAGCATCAGCCTGCGGACTGAAGGGTCCCGGGTTCGATTCCAGTTGGGCGCATGCCCTGGTTGTGGGCTCAATCCCCAGTAGGGTGCGTGCAGGAGGCAGCCGATCCATGGTTCTCTCTCATCATTGATGTTGCTATCTCTCTCTCCCTCTCCCTTCCTCTATGAAATCAATAAAAAATTGAAAAAAAAAGAATGTAGGTTGTGAAAAACATCAGCAGAGGAACTAATATCTCCTTTGAGGAAAAGCCACTGAACTGCCACAGGGAGGAAATAACTTGCAAGCAATGTGGACACATTTTAGAGCTGGGATAATACAGGTAGCCACAGGATCCTTCCTGGACTGGGCTAGCAGGTAAAATAGTTTCACCACAAAAGCCTGTAGTGCACCTTTCAATTCTGCCAAACAATAGCTATCATTTCCTATTTCCTGTGTGTCTTGCAGGTACTAGACCTTGCACTTATCTCCAATCCTCAGAACAAACCTCAAGGGAGATTGTATTGCTCCCATTTTGCTGATAAGAAAATTGCAACTCAGAGAGATAAGTGATTTGCTCAAAGCCGACGGTCGGCAGTCAGGATGGAACCCAGGTTAGGATGAGAGCTTTTCCCGACACCAGTGGTTTTGAATTTTGCTCCAGGGAATCCCCCCCCCCCCCTTTCCTACTGTCTAAGACAGAGACAGTGGGTGTGGAGCTCAGCAACCTAGTCTCAATTTGTCAGTTTTACGCCTGGCTTCAAAATTAGATTTATTAGATCAAAATCTATTGAGAAGAAAAAAAAAGTTTGAAAGCCACTGACCTCTATGGGGGTCTTTGAACTTCTCTGCTGAACCATGACTTTTCGTGGTTTTCTCCAGAAACACTGCTTCTGTGATTCGTTTTCCCCTAGCACATCCATCCTCAACAGGACTGGCAGAGGGATTTTGGTAAAACTTCATGTTACTCCTCTGCTTGGAAACCTTCCATGGCTCCCAGGACCCTTAAGTGAAAATCAATGACTTCTTTTAGCGTGACTTATGAGACCCTCAGTGATCTGGACCCCCACCCACTTCTCCAGCTTTGTCATTAATTACTCCCTAGCTCCCACCTTCCTGCCAAACAGACTGTCCTACATTTCCTGGTACTTGGTGTACTGGCCCTTAGACACTGCACTGGCTCTGCCAGGAGGCCTCTCCCCCTTCTCTGACCATCTCCCACTCTCCCAGACCTCAGATCAGGAATTACCTTCTTCCCTGAAAGCCTTTCCAGCATCTTCCAGCCTGGGCCAGGCCCTGCCCTCTGAGCAGCACCCTTCCCCCCATGTTTACACCTCACAACCCTACTTCCGGTCTCCTTTCTCCTCTGCAAGCCCCACTAGAATGCAGTTTCGCATCATCTGCTCAGCTCCGTTTTGCTTCCCAGGAAAGAAGTTTCTCAGGGAATTTGTTCTTTCTCTTGGGGTAAGCATACCAGTCTTGCCTCGAAAAGCATACCAGAAATGCCAATGGCTTGATGTTAAGCATGGAGAGTTTTCAGGATGGGAGTACGTCCCCTGCAGCCAAACCTCAATTTTACATGGAGGAGGTAGGCTAGGCAATATCACATGATGAGAAAAGTCTGTGGGGGGAAAATAGCTGACTACAGGAAAAACTACAGAAAGCCGCTTTCAAATCTTCTAGCTGACTTGGTTTTCATTTTGGAAAGAGCCAGGCGGATCCTGGCCTCAGGTCCCCAAATCTGCTAATAGTTAAGACGCTTAGGTTCAAACTTAGCCTATGGGGAGGAGACTACTGATATAAGTGTCCTTTGAATGTTGGGCAAAGGCACATGCTAATCTTCCCTCCAAGCCTGCAGCCCGCAGACTCAGCCATGTGGCAGGAAGGCTCTGCCCTGGCAGCCTTCACCAAGCCCAACCCACCCTGGCAGTTGTCAAGGGGGAGGCTGTGGAACAGAAACTGAAGTCTTGCATCAGTTAGCCAATTTGTATCTATAAAATGGGCACAAAAGATGCGGGGGGGGGGGCGGCGGGTAATGCCAGCTGCTGATGCCAAATGCCCGAAGCCAGGAATAAAAATGTTTAAGGTGCCGTTCCTAGAGACCTGGGACAGGCAGAAAACACCAAAAGGAAGGGTTTGGATCATTTCCTGGATGAGAAGAATCTAATGGGTTATTAAGGGAAGGGGGGATTGTTTGGGGGCACAGAGTGGGTAATAAAAAAGAGCAAAGAGGCCCACTAGGTGGGCAGAGATGGAAATTTGGATGTCTGGGCACAGGGTGGTTTCTGTATTCTGTAGTGATTCAATTTCTCCCTGGTGTTCAAGGACTGAGATGGGAGGGCTTCGGACACACCAGTCCATTGGAAGGGCTACAGGAATACACTATTTAAAAAAAAAAAAAATTCTCTAAGCCGAAACCGGTTTGGCTCAATGGCTAGAGCGTCGGCTTGGGGACTGAAGGATCCCGGGTTCGATTCCGGTCAAGGGCATGTACCTTGGTTGCGGGCATATCCCCAGTAGGGGATGTGCAAGAGGCAGCTGATCGATGACTCTCTCTCATCGATGTTTCTAACTCTCTCCCTTCCTCTCTGTACAAAATCAATAAAATATATTTAAAAAAATATTCCCTAAGGCAGCATGTATATTTAGAAGCTATTTTCTTTTACCATCTTTTTTCCCCCTATACACAACTCTAGTCTCCAACTGCTTTCCCCTCCTTTCAGTTCAATTGTTTGGGAACACTTTTTCAAACTACAGATTATATATTAAGTGTAATTTAAAAAAGCAAATGATGAACTAGCTGGTTTGGCTCAGTGGATAGAGCGTCGGCCTGCGGACCAAAGGGTCCCAGGTTTGATTCTGGTCAAGAGCACATACCTTGGTTGCTGGCTCCTCCCCAGCCCTGGCCCTGGTGGGAGCACATGCAGGAGGCAACCAATCGATGTGTTTCTCTCACATCGATATTTCTCTCTCTTTCCCTCTCACTTCCACTTTGCCTAAAAATCAATGGAAACATATCTTCGGGTGAGGATTAAAAGGAAAAAAAAGCGAATGATGATGATTAAAGCCCTATCGCAGAAAAAAGTGCCAGTGGGTGTGTCTCACTGAAGGGCAGAAGTCCAGGTAAATGACATGACTCACCACAAAGTATCAGCGACGTACATCTGGAGGCTTTCCCCTTTTGCTACCCTTCTTTCCCCTACACACACTAGGAGGAGACTGTGCCAGAGCCCAGACCTAGATGCTCACGAGCCCAATAGTTAAACCGTGGGTCTCTACTCAGAGTCAAGGTGAAAGGAGCTCCTTCAGTGCACAGCTTAGCCATTTGCTCTGAGAACGAGGTCCAGAGCCTGCCCTGGATCACTAGCTCCTGGCCATGGGTGGGTGACCTCTTCCCTGCAAATGTTGGAAGCTTCCCCCACCTCAGTGGTTAATGAAAAAAATCAAAGGACAGCTTTGTCATGTGAAAGGAAAACAATTCCACTTTAATATGCTTAAGAAGTCATCCATGATACATTTGAAAAAGTACCAGTAAGCCCCGGTTGTCTCAGGAACAGGGAGCCAGGGGCTGACTCTGGCAGCACAAAGTGACCCCTTAGTAGCCAAGTCAAGCCTGCAGTTAAGCGCTTACTCTGCGTCAGGGGTTAAGTCTTAACTCGTTCTAGTAATAAGCCCAAACTTGTGCCAGATCAGAAATGGCTACTGGAAGCTTAACTTTCCCTCTCCCAAGCAGGACCGCGCTCCTGCCCCTAACTCCAGCTCCTTTTGGGATTGGGCTCCGGGACAGCTTGGTCTTTGCTCTCTCTTGGTTGGGGGGGAGGGGAGCGGGCTGGGGGTGGGGTAGGACTCCTGGACTCCATGTCTCCTGGCCAGTGACTACAGGAGACTGTACCGGAGACAGACGGGATGTGGTCTGCTCATTGCAGGCCCATTGCACTGGGCCGCATAGCCCCTTCAGTGGGATCTGGGACAAGGGAGGACCAAGGCCTCGCTACAGTGGCGCGGTCCCTCTCTACACTCTCGTCTACGTCGCTCTCAACGGTCCTGGAAGAAGGGGAATATCTGGCGAAAAAAACCCTGAATTTGCGCCATCCGGCTGCCCGCCGAGTCCTTCTCCTTGCTGGGCAACGCCACCTCTCTCGTCGTCGTCTCCGCGGCCATCGCACCCAATGAGTTCAGAGTCCTTCGCAGCGTCCACCCGGTGGCGGGGGTGGCGCCGCTGCTGTTGTTGTTGGCGTTGTCCCGCTCACCGTCGCTCGCCTTCTCCCAGTCCTCAGCCCCCGACAGCTCCCGCAGGCTCCAGGGCGCGTCGGGCTTCAGGTAGTAACAGGCCCGGTGGCCGCTGTGGTCACGGCGCGTGGGGTCAGCTCCCAAGGCGCCCACCAGCACCTTGATGACCAGGTAGTGGCCCTGCAGAGCCGCCAGGTGAAGGGGCGTGAGGCCGCCGCTGCCCGGGGCGCTCACGTCGAGCTGCAGACCCCGACGCTTGGCGAATTCGTGCACCAAGATGAGCTCCTCGTGGCGCCCGTGCTTGGCCAGCCAGTGCAGCACCGAGTAGCCGGTGATCGGGTCGCCCCGTAGGAGCAGCGCCGGCTCGGCTTCCAGCAGCTCCTGCAGCGCTTCTAAGCGGCCCTCGGCGGCCGCCAGTATCCACGCGTGCTCCCGGGGCTCCAGGCACAGCCTGCCGCTGCCCGCGCCGTTCGGCCCGCCCGGGGACTGCTCCTCCGTGCGCCCCTCGGGCTGCCACCCGGCGGGAGCGGCTCCCTGCAGCCCCAGCAGCTCCCGCAGCATTCCCCGCCGGCGCCCCGAGCCCGCTCCCGAGTGCGTCAGCGAGCCATGCACGGAGGCCTGCCGGGAGGCGGTGGCGGAGCCCCGGTACCTGCCGAGGCTGACGGCGTCCACTCTGGAGGGGCGGGGCAGCGGGCAGCCCCGCAGGCTGTGCGCGCTCCAGGGAAGGGCGGCTCTGGGCACCGGCGTCGCGGCTTGTCCGGGCAGGGCCATGGTCCCGCCGCTCCGCCGCCGGCTCCGCGTCTCTAGCGTTCTCAGCCCTTCCCGGGCCCCACTAGGAGAGGAACTGGCGCTGGGGAAGGAAGCGGCTTGAGCAATTGGGCTCCGAGGGAAGAAGGGAGGGAGCAAATGAGGGGAGGGGAGAGGGGGGAGAGGGAGAGAACGAATGAGCCGAGGGAGGGCCCCCGCGCGGGCGTGGGGGCGTGGAGGGGGAGTCCGGTGCGCTGGGTACCGCCGCCACCTCTGCCGCCCGATTGCGGGCGGCCCCGCCCCCAAATGGCCAGGTAAACTGGGAGGCCCCGCCTCCTGGCCCGCGGGGGCGGGGGGGGGGGGAAAGTAGGGCTGTTAGCGGCCCCCAAAGTCGCCCCGAGCAGCCCAACTGCCCCTGTAGCCGTTCTCCGCATCCCAGCAGCTGCTGAGAGGAAGAGGTTCGAGGGCGCCCCCTCCCCGGCGGGCTGAGCTCGGCTGCCAGCCAAGGCTCCTGGGTGCTCTCTCCCCGCCCCCTTCCTTGGACCGTCCTTCTTATCTCCTCAAGAGTCTCCCTGTACTTTGTCCCCGAGCCGCCTTTGTCCCGAGCCTAGCATTCACGGAGGCCGCCTGGCTACCCGTGTGACTCGCCTGCTCTGCCCTTTGTGCTGTCATTCCCGCAGCGCCCAGAGCTATGCGGGATTCTTGCAGAAACCTGAGACCAGGGCCCAGGAGAGAGTTTCTAGGAATGGAGAAGGGGTATTCCACTGCTCCACCCTCTTCTCTCCTCTTTAACCTCTCCTGGGTTGGCTGAAGGAGCAGGTGCAGGTGAATCTGAGTCAGAGGCTAGGGGAACGCCCTGTCCTCTTCAGAGATGTGTCCTGCTCTCTCCCTCAGGGACCTGCTGATTTCTGTGAACCCAGAGCTTAGGGGCTTTTAAAAGAGGATGAGATTTTACCTTTGAACTCCTAACATTGGCCTTCTGTTTGCTCTTTCCTTCCCTCAATAAATGGTAGCTCTTGCCTCCTGTCCCCTCCCTCACCCCATGTTAGGGAGTTCAGTCAGTGAGCAATTGGGAGCCATAGAAGGTTCTTGAGCTAGAGAGGAGCACAGCTATGATTAAGGTGATATTTAGGAAAATGATTATGGGAGAAGCAGAGGCAGAAAGTTAGGAGGCTGGTCCAATAGTGTAGGCCAGAGGGATGGGGGCTCACACCACTGGGCCTGACAGTGATGGAAAGTATCAGAGGCTTTTCCTCCTTGGCCTTCAAATATTGGGAATCAGCCCTAAAAATCTTGAGCTTTCCTTCATGACATCTTATGCATTTGTAACCCTTTTTAATTTATTCTAATATATTTCATCAACTCCTTACAGAGAAGAAGGGAAAGGGACAGAGAGCCAGAAAGATCGATCAGAGAGAAACATCAACCAGCTGCCTCCTGTACACCCTCCACTGGGGATGTGCCAGCACCCAGGGCACATGCTCTTGACCAGACTCGAACCTAGGACCCTTCAGTCCACAGGCACTCTATCCACTGAGTCAAACTGGCCAGGGCTGTACCCCTTTTTAAAAAAATCCTCACCCAAGGATATTTTCCCATGGATTTTTAGACACAGTGGAAGAGAGAGGGAAAGACAGAGAGAAATATCGATGTGTGAGAAACACATCCACTGGTTGCCCCCTGCATGTGCCCCCACCAGGGCCTGGGCCAGGAAGGAGCCTGCAATGGAGGTAGATGCCTTTGACCAGAACTGAACCTGGGATTTTTCAGTCCGCGGGCCGATACTCTATCCACTAAGCCAAACCGGCTAAGGCTGTAACCCATTTTTGAACATTTACTATGTGTCAGACTCTGTGCTAGATGTAAAACTTTTAGTCTTCCGATTGGCCTCAGGAACTAAGATTTTCCTCAGTTTGCAGGGAGGTTAGGCCACTTGCCCAAGGTCACCCAGCAGGAAGTGGCAGAGCAGGTCTGTGTGACACCATAGCCTTTGTTCTAGCACAGATCTACTGGTATCCAAGCCAGGCCTATTGGCTATAAGTCACTCCCACAAGCCCCAAGTTTCAGCCAAAGGGATGGACTTGTCCTAGTCTGAGTACATCTGGAACTTGCCCTCCTCTATCTAGAATGTCTTCCCTCACAGCTTCTGAATAGCGAGGTTCTTCTCCCTGTCCTTTAAGGTTGGCCTCAGTTTCCACTGCTCCAGTAAGCCGCCTCCGATTATCCCAGCCCAGCGTGATCACTCTCCCTCCCTCAATCCTCTGTTTGTATTGCTGCCTTGGCACCTGGCACAAACTTCCTTACGTTGTATTTCTCTCCCCTTGTTCTCACATGCCAGTCAAACTCCAAACTCTTTGTCCTCGGACAGGAAGCTCAGTTAATTAGAGCGTTGTCCCTATGTGCCAAGGTTTTGGGTTTGATCCCCGGTCAGGGCACATACAAGAATCAACCAATGAAGCATAAATAAGTGAAACAACAAACCTTGCCCCCCGCCTCCCCCGTCTCTATAAAATCAATTAAAAATACTAAAAACAGAAATCTTAAAAGAAAAATCCTTCTAAACTCTTTGATGAGTATATCATACTATCCTGGGGCACCTAGCAGGTGTGTGAGAAATATTTGTTACCTTCTTCTGGTTAGGCAACCTGGGAAAATGTGATTGTGTGTATGTGTGGCGGCGGGTGGGGGGGGCATTGTATATGTGTGTGTGTTGGTAGGGTGTGTCAGCAGCCAGAACCTTGATGCCCACTCCCACATTCCTGCCTTGAATTGGATCTGCAGGACATTGAAAGCAACTCGTAGATTTGGTCAATTCATTAAAAAAGTAATAATGACCAGTGGTTCATTCACTGAGCCGACTAGCCAAAGCCACCTCCTGGCCTTTGCTGACTCCTCAGAGTGGGCCCCAGCTTTCAGGGTTTCATTTTCAAAATGCACCCTGACTGACAAGCAGTTACTTCCGTTGCTCTGGAAACTCCCATCCACAGCCCCAAATCTGTAAAC